GTTTTTCAAGGAGAGGCTATCAGAACGACCACTGCATCGAGTGTATGTGCAGTGTGTTGAGCGGATCAGCAACCCTACAGAATCCTTCGCTTGGATGAGATCGGCTGGCGTGAAAAGTGAAACAGAAGGCTTTCTGTTTGCTGCTCAGGACCAGTCACTTACCAGTCGAAACCGTCAATGTGTGATTTTGCATCAAAATGTAAATATGAAATGTAGATTATGTAATGAATTTATTGAGACTGTCCAACACATTGTCAGTGGATGCCCAGCTTTGGCACAAACACAGTATCTTAAGCGACATGATGGAATGGTTCGATCCTTTTCGCAATGCTTGAGGCTTTGACACAACGGTCCATCCTTGGTACGAATACGTAGAGGGCGTGATGATGATGATGATCTCATAGGGTTAGAACTATAAAACCGGACAAGAACAAGCAGCCACATGAGCGCGCATGCACGTTGCTATATGCGTGAAATAATCACGAACGCGACGTTAACGCCATTTCATCTCACCCACACATGATCCGGACATTGAACCAAGCGCCTTCCACTCACCCACGTACCATGACGACCGAGGCCTGTGATCCATTGCCATTCCAGCCTAACACTCATTTTTGCTGACAATGCAAATGAAATTATAATAAAAATGTTTTATATATACATTTGATAAGACGAATCGTTTTAACCAATAATATCTTTCAGATAATCTATTAATTTATAGCTTTCATCGTTCAGTTCAGCATATTAGTATACACAGCTGGTATCGTATCTGCGTTGCTCACAACAAACACCTCGTCTAGACTACTTCCCACGTCAAGTGGACGCTCGGTTCGACTTAATTAAATTCCTTATGTAAGCTGTAGTTTCGTTCCGCCAAGTAGATGTACCCTTGTAATTTGTCTAGCTACAAATAACTTTCTTGTTTACACTCTCCTCGTGAGGTGAACATAGCCTGTCTATGCAACACCTTATTAATTTGTAAATTGTTATTAATTGTAAACATACCCCGTCCATACTAAACAACAATTATGTTTTTTCTTAAATATATTTTCTGCACACGTTTATTTGTCATTAATAGGATATCCAAGGTGATTTTCATTTACTCGTATTCTGTTTACGATTGTTTATTTGTTGTTTTACGCCGCACTCAGCAATATTCCAGCTATATGACGGCGCTCTGTACGTAATCGCGTCTGGATCAGGCAATCAAGTGATTGACATCATGAGCATCGATCCACGCAATTGGGATACGGTGACCTGCATCAACCAAGTCAGCGAGCCTGACCACCCGATCCCGTTAGTCGCCTCTTACGACAAGCATAGTTGCCTGTTACGGCAAGCATGGGTTGCTGAAGACCTATTCTATCCCAGATCTTAGATCTGTTTACAATTGACTTAAAAGACGATCGCGAGTTCCATACATTTATAAATTGTTTGGATTAATAAGGTTTTGATTGGAGTTACGCAATGATAAGACATGTTTTACATGATATTAGTAAGGTAATACAAGAAACGAAGTTTGTCAGCACCCTGTTAATCTGGAATCTTCAGATTCGGGACGTTTGTTCACTGTACAAGGGACAAAATAACGAACCGGCAATAAATAGAACCTCGTGTATATCGAAGTTTGTATAGAACAAAATGGATGGACAATCTAGTGACTGATATCATGAGCATCGATCTACGCAGTTGGGATACGCTGACATGCATAAAACAAGTCAGCGAGCCTGACCACCCAGTCGCCTCTTACGACAAGCATGGATTGCTGAAGACCAATTCTAAAACGGATCCTCACGGGTCCATCAGTCCAAAGTGAACACATCAGATTGTAGCCTTTCACTCGGTGACTTGTTTTGTGGATTTCATACTCGAAAGTAAACTACCGGGCAAAAGAAAGTATACAAACATGTTTGTTGGTGGCTAAAACGAAACAAACAAAAAATGGTTATTCGATGCGATGTATTTGATACGGGTATCACAGTTGTGACTTGGACCTTACGTTTGCTTCGTTCCAGCGACTGTTTCAGCTAAGTCACATTTTGACAACATCAAATCCAATTTTCAAGTGTATACTTTTTTTTGCCCGGCAGTGTACTTCTGCCCTTCTTTAGTATCCAGTGTATAATATACTGGTCTTCGTTGTATTATGATACACACCCTGGATACATTCACTACCACGGGAAGAGGCGGAAGCATCTTCATCTCCCGTATCAGTGAGCAGCGGGGTAGTCAAGTGGTTCAAGCGTTGGCTCGTCGCGCTGAAGTCCAGGGTTCGATTCCTCGCATGGGTGTACTACGCGGCGGTCTGTTCCTGGTGTACCGCGCCTTGGTATTGCTGAACTATTGCTACAAGCAGCGTGAAACGTTACCACTCATTCTCTTATCAGTACTTTCCAATTTCTCGAAATGTCTCTCCACGTTAGTGTAATTTGATTTTACGGCTGGTTTAGTATCAAGTTACTCGACTCGGGATCAACAAGAAGCTATGGTAGCGATTAGATCCAGAGTAATTACAATCATACAGTCGAGATAAAATACCCTTGATAATTGACAATGCAGTAATACTAAAAAATAAAAGTAAATATTATTCAACACTATTTCTGTATGTTCCGTTACTTCTTTCAGTCAGTATATATCGACATGACGAAATTGCGTCCTGGATAACAACTTTAAATGCGAAATTTGAAATTATCTCTGCCAAATCTGACGAAACTGTAACAAAACAGTTTCACGGTGTCAAACCCACGTCTTTCCCACATTGTTCCGAAGCTCGTTCTTCCAACTGTTCTGAAATGAGGCCCTTGTGTCACTTCTTCATCCGAGAATGTGCCCGATTGGAGAGATAAGGTCTGCGCGAACGAGATCGTAGGTTATACTGTAGTTATATTGCTAATCGATGAAGAATGTAAAGAAAAAAATATTCTCCTTTTACTAAATCACTCTGCAACGTGTTGAAAATGTTGTGAAAGCAGTCGCCGAACCAACAAAAACAGAAATAATCCCTGCAAATGGGTCTGCTTTTCTTCAAGTCGGCGACAAAAACTTAAATTCAATTAAATAGCTGACATATCGTCGCATCGATTTGCAGTGGTATGCAAGAGATAAAAAGTGGCGCATAGTTATCTCCCCTGAGAGAACTCTTCAGCCGATGGCGATAGAGATTGCGGGACGATTGATGGCGGAACGTCTCCCCGATATACAATTGGCCGTCGGTTTTCAACCTGAACGGAAATCATTGGGAAGACTTGGAACTCGAGCTATTCGTTTCCTATGTTTACTTACTCTGTCTTCTAAGTGTCGCTATCGGCTGACATTTATACAGACAGTCTATCGTATGGAGGGCGATACCAGGACGTCAATCATGTCGTCCCTTCATACCGCGTTTGTTTTAATTAACGCTTCTCATCTTAAAGAGGGTTTCGACCCAGCATCTTATAACCCAACCATTCCAACAAATACCTCTATGCTAATTGACGTTTATGATACAGTTCAATTTATAAATAACTACTTACTTAGAGAGACAATTTCAGCGTCTAGACTGAAGCTAGAAATAGGAACAAAATTCAGGAGCACCGTCGCTCCTTAGCTTAAATTATAAGCCAAAAGGATAACAAGTGGTTCTATTTCAAGGATTTCTATTCTGAAAATGAGCTTTGAAAACTGATTTATCAGAATTCTGAATAGCTACGCCTAAGGTAGAAAATCGAATAGTTTAAACGTTATAATTTAGGTTCATAATTAATCAATCATAAAAGTGTCAGGCTTTAGTAGAATCGATTTGGAATCAATAACACCGTTTATTGTAAAACTCCTGCATGTTTATGAACCATTATAAACATTTAGAGCTGAAATTGTTTAAGACTTCTATTACAGCTGTTTTGGTGAAGACCTGACCCCACGCTAAGGGGTATTCAGGCTTAAAACGTCCCAAATCAATTATGTCCGAAGTAGGCATGTCTCGTAACCGACATAGGCATGACGCCATGAAAGGAAGAATTCACTCTGCTTTTCAGGGAATGTCAATTATTAAATATGCATGAATGATTGTACCAGAGCCGGACTATGTTAAGATATTGTTTTTCGATGCTGGTGCTTTGGTACAGAATTTTTTTTAACCAGGACTGAAAAAGCTCTTAGCCAAAGTGGCTCAAGGTACTCCCTGATTAGATTACGTTCTCATTGATTGTCTTAACGTGTGCAAGTGAGTGTGCACGTTTTTTGCAAAAAGCAGTAAATTGGCTTTTCATAGTGCCACTTCGGATCATTTAACACGTCCACTAGATACAGTTTTTCTGGATCAACTGATCGATTTGCTATCTGTTCCTTATCTTTAAATAATACAGGTTTGGGTGTGGATTAGCAAATAATATACTAATTGAAAAACCAAGTCATCCTTGTTCAACATTGTCCGGGCATGACTTCGGAAATGGAAACACCGTTAATCCTGACGTAAGTTTCCATGAAATTGTCCGGTTTATCAAATGTCCGGCTTAACGTATTATGGATACGGATAAAGTCGTTGTATATATAAATTAAATACTTTCCTGACAGTTACTATCCGGAAAAGCGAGGTTTCCATATTAAAGTGGTCCCGACTAACGGTGTTATGTTGCACAGATGAGGGATACGTTAAGGGTATAAATAATGAGGGGAAATATTGGTATGTGCATCAACACAATTTGACGCATCATTTGGGAAGGAATTCCGTTGAAAGGGCGTTCAGTATTTCAGAGTCCTTGCCGCAATGGTCTCTACGAGCGAAATTTAATATCAGCAGGTAGAACAGTGTTTTTACCAAGAGATATTAAAGTGTGGACGTAAAAAATACTTATTTGGTTTATGGCAACGGGAATGTATTTCATTTTGTTAAAAAACGCACTGTATGAAGTTATTGGCAGATATTCAAGAGACCAATGCCTCGTACTGTTACTCTCGTAACGTCTCGGAAAGTCGCGTCTGTTAACACACTTGTCAGTACACAGAAACTCCTACGGCGTTCGAGAAGGAATTGCAATTAATGTTGTCATATTCCTGCCGACAGGGGGTCCTAAGGTGCGAGTCTTTGACAGAGGAATTGGTAACTACATTTATCAGCAAAAATCGAACGCCAGGGGCACAATCTGTTTGTTTGAAGCCGGCTAAATATCGTCCCGGGCCTGGCATATGAAGACTCGATGCTTCAGTGGTATTGATTGTAAAAGAGAGTTTCGTCCCGGAGTAATGATTGCTGGGGGCAAGGGGAGACGCCGCCCCGTGACTACATCACGCGTCATTACACCGACATCGTCGACAGAGGCCACTCACAGACAGGCAGAAGACTAACGGTTGTGGTGATTGGCATCAAACGTCAACCATTTCAAGTCTGATGTACTTACAACTGTCTGATACCTTGATTAGCCGTGTGGTTCGTTGTTACGTACACGTGGAAAGTTGGCGGTGGTACACCAGTAACATCCATACCTGTCACGTGTACCTCATCTTGAAAGGAGCAGTGATGTAGATTCGGCACCCAGAACAGGCAGGCTACAAGTGGAAAGTTTGTGAGAGTTGATCTGCTGCAGGATCGATGACAGAGGTAATTCATGGGATGTATTTTGACTCACTCGACGATCAACGATACATGTTAGAACAGGCTGCTTCATAGAATGCTTCACAGGCTTTCAAACAGAATGCCTCACAGAGTGCTTCACAGACCTTCTAACAGAATGCTTCACTGAAGGACTAAACTCTGAACTTTTAAACTGTGTGAGGTCAGCCTGTTACCGCATCGAGGTCGTGATCACTCACCTGAGAGGCGGTCCCTAGAGGTGAATAAGAAACAGTTGGTCCTATAACACTTCACTGTGTTTGAAACAAATCTATGTGACGGTTCACCTCTCAAAACGGTCTCTATTTCTGACAGGTCACATCGAAACAAACACCTGTGAAGCCCACATCTGTTTGGAAGTACTTGAACGTTAAATGAAAGCCTCAACCAAGTCCTGAGTAGTACCATCATTAGAAACATTGATGGAAGTAGTTCCTACATTGTGACTCAAAGAAAGCCTGAGACAGTATACCGAGTTTCTGAACAGCCTGACGTGATTCTGGGACGGTTCCAACTTCTTTCCCAGTCAATCTCCGTGTTTTGCCGATGTGTATTGACCCAAGTCGTGCCTCGTGCCCGATGTTTGCCCAGGGTAAGATCTTGAAGGCCTTTGGTCATCGTCGGTCAACATCTGAGGCTGCCTCATAATCCTCAGGAACAGATGTGCCACGACTGTTTTGTGACTTATGAAGATGTGTTGCATCCTAATGTCATCCTGATTCTCTTGAACATTAATACCCAGTTAAAAACAGGAACAAGTGTAAGGCTGGCATTTATATTTTCATAGAAAAAGGTCTCTGGAGAAAATGCGTTCTAAATGCCGTTACTGAACTTGAGGGATGAAGTACAATGTCAAAGGATAAATTGACATTTTACTGTTCAGTAGGAAAGTTAATTTAATTACTCCGAGACTGCGTGAAAGGTCAGATCGTATGCACACTTCCATTCATCCCAACTGAACAAAAGCTGAGGAATCTTAACCCAGCGCCAGACACAAGGAACAACGAGAGTGAGAGAGAGAAACACATTACTACATAAGAAGTGTTTGTTTCCATTCACAGCAATACAGTGGCAGTGCAGAAGGAGATCGAACTTCCCCTTCTGGAGTACTGAGAGTTATCGACCCGTCCGCCCTGGACTAAATACCAGCTTAAGTAATATACCAGAAGGACATCAACAGTTTTTTCCACAGCATTTAAGAAGTAACAAAGCAACTACCGCTGGTAGCCTGAGTTATTGACCAGCCCAGTAAAGTGATTAATACCCTTTCGTGAGAAGAGGGCGAGGACATCGACGTCTTTTGAGAACTTTTCACAATCTGGTTCATTATTTATATCCGGCTAGACAAGCATTGGTTTAAAACCTTTTTGGTCTGTGCATGTTAGAGTCTCGACAGTCATTTGAAGTAGATTCGGCTGAAAAGTGTGTTATCGAAGTGATTTCCATGGTGAGGCAATGTATGTAACATGTGTCTGTGTCATGTTTGAACATCTTTGGAAGTAGGCACGACTATTGTTCAGATTGGAATTGTTACGTCGGAGGGACGGGTACGTTTGGACGTTTTGGTGTTGAAAAACAGAAAAACTGGAAAAAAAACAAGTCTGCTGTTGAAAAACAGAAAAACTGAAAAACAAGTGTTTTATACAGAGAGATGCTTGTACCGAAGATTTGGAGACTATAACATCGTGATGTAATGCTTACACTGGAGATGGTGTTTTAGAATTGCCCTGCCCAGGAGCATCCTGTACCCTGGCATTCAGAGATCACCCTGTGGACCGATATATGTGATTGCAGACCCGATTCACATTATTTTATATTGCTCAACCTTGCATCTGATCATCGAGTACCAGACTTTTAGAGATCATGATACAGATGTATGTGATTCTGTGATCCGATTCCTACCATGTACCCTTTGTGAATGACATGTCTCAATTGACCTCATGTCAGTGTGAACTTTGAAATTCCTTCTAAAAAGGATTTCCATCGATGTTCATTGAATTACTTAACGCCTGATTTATTGACTCATTTAACACCTAATGAATGCTTGACGTTCTGGAGAAGGATATGACACAAACGACCGATCCTGAAAACTCCCTGCTGACATGTGATCGTTGAAATATTAATAACTATTACATTTTTATTGTCTGTGAAGAGCACTACAACATTATCTGCCCGCCAGCAGCATCGGGAGGTACATGCAAGCTGAAGCCTTTAGACGGTGATCATTAAAACCACTCGAAGTTCATATCCTTTTAATGACCAGCATTGACATTAAAGAGCTTTTTAACTTGTCAAGAACCTTGTAGAAATGCCCCTATGAGCAGTATTTAGACTGCTATTGACGAGAGAACAAGTATTAAAGTTGAGGATGCGAAGGTGATAGAAAGGCTTGGTGATAAAACTTGCCGTGTGTGCAATTGGAAACTATCATTTAAGCTTGCGCAGTGTGATTCCTCTTCTTTGCTCATCTCTAACAGTGATATCGGTGGCGTTAACGACAGCATTCGCAACGACATTACCTCCATCTCAGGGGACTCGGGGACGGCAGTCAGGAGGCGAGGGGAAGAATTGCAACTTATCACAGACAACGCCAGTAATCTCAGAAAACAATCTCTTCCCAGCTCATCTAAAAGCGTAAATCGCTCACCCATGCAGAGAAACTATTTGATTTGTTATGTGAGAAAACATTTTGCGAGCCCAATATTTCAGGCTTCCCTCCGAGGCTATCATCATTAACTGTGGGAGTTATTAACCCGCCCCGTGAGCTGGAAAACAGTTAGAATGTCACAGTGAGTACATCGTTATTATAACAGGACCCGGATCGATATTACTGCGCCATCGAACCTTTCAGAGTTCAGAGGTCAAGTTTGGCAGTAATTACGACGTCCTTCCGCAAATAGTGCCCCACTTGGCGGCGTATGTGGAGAGAAAGGTCATATCCCTGCTCATTCACTGGTGATTTATTCTGTTCACACTAAGCATTTAGCCTCGTATAGACCTAATTGCCAGAACTTCACTCAGCTCTGTTTCCGTGGGACATATATCATTCCGGATCCCAAGTAGAGCCTTCTGTAACATCGCATTTACTTCGTACGACTTTTATACACCACTGAGGGAGGAGGATCTGGTTTTATTACATGATACAATCGGGATTTCGTGGACTCACTGACGTTTAAGAGTTGTTTGTCAAGCGTCCAATTCACTTCTGGAGTATTGCCGTGCGTAAGGACTATTATTACCACAGGCAACTGTGCTCAAGTCGAAAGAATATACTGGAGCTAACAAATCATAGGTCATGCCATATTCACGAGAAGGAAATAAAGTACAGATTAACTATTGAATCGATACACAGACTGCCAATTTAACGCTCAAATTGTGACGTCATTTCCGAAATCGGCGACGTTATTTTGCCAGCGGAAGCGTTGCTACATGTAACGTTATCGGTAGTGAAAAGGTCTGTGACGTTGATATCCTTCCGCCAGAATGGTATAAGTGGCCCATTGACCATGATGAATTGGATGTCTTTATGAACGGTGCCATCATAACTACAGCTTGGCAGACACCTGACTGCTCTCAGCTATATTATAGTCGGCAGGATTCTTTAACTCAACAGGATGCCTTCACCAATTCTCCTCATATGGGTTTTACTCTCAGTCCTTGTGGCGGGGACGTGCACGTTCAGTTTTCTACAACCTTTCTGGCTACTTCACCACGACTTCAGCCACGCTTTCGGCATGATCAGTTACTGTTTCGGCGACACCAGGTACGCCAAGTCGCGTGAGGTATGTCGCTTCTATGGCGGAACTTTCAGCATGGGCCGGGTACCAGTAAGGGCGTGGCAGGCTTCGTGTGTTCTCTACGGTGGAGGGTGTGGACTTATCAGCCTCAGTGCGTTCGTGTCCGTGTGCGTCACATGTCTTCCACGTGACTATCAGAAGTCCATGACCCGAATTGTGGGATACGTACAAACAGTAGCAGGTAAAGTTCGTGATGCACGTGCAGCAGGGAATGTTCGTGGAGCACGTGCAGCAGGGAATATTCATCCCGCAATAATAGCAAAGAATGTTCGTGATGCACGTGCTTACGTCATATTCCTTGAAACACTAAATTGTTCATGTCGATTTTAACAATCATGAAGATCCATGTACATCTATATAGATAATTTGAAAAATCAAATTCATAATAATCAACGAAATATCAATATAGTTTTGTAACATGAGAAATATGGCTTCAAAATGAGGTAGGAAAGTTAATTTGAAAAAGGCTTGTATTGTATTATTTTTCCAATAACACAACGGTTATTATCTGCTGTGGGCGTATGATAACGACGAGAATTGATTAGCAGACACGTTTTCAATTTGTGAAACAATTTAAGAGTTTTATTAAGTGTTCTCACAAATGATATCCGTTCTTTACATACTTTCGTTCTTAAGGTGAAATAAACCACCACTATTTTTCTTTCTCTTGACGAGTGTCCATGACATTTATTTCACTGTTGGCTTCGGGTTTATTTCCAAGAAACACATTTTAAATCATTCAGATTACAGTAACAATAAATCATTGTCACAGCTAGATGATAGTGTTACAACCTTGTGGCGATAAACGTATTGATAGTTGGGATAAACATTTTAGAAAAACAAAATTCAACAAATTGGATTCGGATTGACAAGTTGAAACTCTTTTAAACGCCACATGACGTCAACCAATAGCAAGTCGGGTTGATGGGTGTATCGGCTAGGAAGGATTGGTCGCAGTTTGACAACGGGGTCAGTGTTTAGAACCTTTGAGAAGGAGGATGAAAGAATTTGTCAGGGAAAATCAAGACCGAATCTAAACATACAACATGAGGACCAATGTACTTTGATCCTGCTTTTGCCAATCAATCTTGTCTCCACATCCTGTGTAGCTGTACGGTCCCTGTTCCTCTGTGAATATACATTGTTGCAGCTCAGTTTGAGAGAACACAATAATATTTCTCATTTCCCTTGTGGGTTTCGTTGAAGGGCAAAATAAAACAACACCGACAGTGTATAGTTTGGTAATGAATATCGATCCTGGAGTGTCGGCTATTGAGAAACATCTATTTCCGCAATAGCGACCATACTCCCATACCTCCTTTAGGGTGTGTGTTGGGAGGTTGTGTTATGTAATACCTAGAACATATGGATATTTGGCCACTGTTATGTATTACCTAGAACATATGAATATTGGGCAACTATGTAATGTTAATACCTAGTGTGTGTGCATTTTTGGCCCCTGTGATATGTAATACCTAGAACATATGAATATTGGATGGCTGTGTTGTATAATACCTAGAGAGGATGTATATTGGGCCCCTGTGATATGTAATACCTTGAACATATGAATATTGGATGGCTGTGTTGTATAATACCTAGAGAGGATGTATATTTGGCCCCTGTGATATGTTATACCTAGAACATATGAATATTGGATGGCTGTGTTGTATAATACCTAGAGAGGATGTATATTGGGCCCCTGTGAAATGTTATACCTTGAACATATGAATATTGGATGGCTGTGTTGTATAATACCTAGAGAGGATGTATATTGGGCCCCTGTGATATGTAATACCTAGAGCATATGAATATTGGATGGCTGTGTTGTATGATATCTAGAGAGGATGTATATTGGGCCCCTGTGATATATAATACCTAGAATATATGAATATTGGAAGGCTTCGTTGTATGATATCTAGAGAGGGTATATATTGGGCCCCTGTGATATGTAATACCTAGAACATATGAATATTGGATGGCTTCGTTGTATGATATCTAGAGAGGATGTATATTGGGCCCCTGTGATATGTAATACCTAGAACATAGGAATATTGGATGGCTGTGTAGTATAATTACCTAGAGAGGGTATATATTGGGCCCCTGTCATATATAATACCTAGAACATATGAATATTGGAAGGCTGTGTTGTATAATACGTAGAGAGGGTGTATATTGGGCTTGTTATATGTAATACCTAGAACATAATTATGAATATTGGATGGCTGTGTTGTATAATACCTAGAGAGGATGTTTATTGGGTCCCTGTGATATGAAATACCTAAGGAGGGTGCGTTTTGGCCGTTGTGTTTGTAATACGAGAGCGAATGCTTATTGGGCCGCTGGTTCATGTAGTACCTAGAGTATATGTATATTTGACCGCTGTTTTATGTAATACCTTGAGAGCTTGATAATTCCTAGAAAGACTATCCATGAGTAACGGATTCAGCATTAAAACTATGGTTACTAATTGGAGAAATATTAAAATCAATAACCCAAAGTACACCGAGGTAAATTATTATTGAAAGAAAATATGCATGATAATATCAAACTAATTTGATTTCTGCTTGATAATTTAGTTAACTTTACTCTTAATTAATACGCCAATCCAAGCGGTTTAAATATTCCATAAATCAAGTAGCATGCCAGCAGTCGTTTGTTCGTTCCAATTAATAGCCGCAGGTTGCATTATTATGTCATGGTGTTCCTGTGCAGATGTCCAAGAGAACCCTGGCAGTGTTTATCGCTGTGAGGGCCGGCGGGAAAGCCTCGTTGTAAAAGCGTTGGCTCGTCACAACGAAGGACCGGGTTCGATTCCCCACATGGGTATAATGTGAGAAGCCTATTTCTGGTGTCCCACGCTGTGATTATGATAGAATATTGCTAAAAGTGGCATGAAACCTTACACACTCATTATTATCCCCCGCCACGAAGTGGAAGGGGGATATAAAAATGGGTGCTGTCCGTATGTCCTTCCGTCCGTCCGTCCGTCAAGTTTCGTTTCCGGGGCAGAACTCAAAAACCGTTAGAGATATCTTAACCAAACTTGGCACATAGATAGCTTGGGACTTTTAACAAAATTATTTTTCGAGTTTCCATACCAACGACTATCTTATAGATAGATAGATGGGGATTTTTGAAAAACATATTTTTAAGTTTCAGCAGCATCTTTTTACTTGGACTGAAAATTGCTGTTGTGCTCATTTCCGGAGCAGAACTTGAAAACCGTACAATATGTCTTCACCAAACTTGGCACATAGTTAGGTCCAGTGTTGAACTGGTGCATTTGATAGATTCTTTTTCAAAAAAAGTATTTTTCGAGTTTCCATAGCAACAAGTTTGACTTGAACTGAAAATTGCTGTAGTGCTCGTTTACTGTGCAGATCTTGAAAAGCGTACAATATTTCTTCACCAAACATAGATAGGTCTAGTGGCGAACTGATGCTTTTGACAGTTTGGGATGTTTTCAGAATGTTTCCATGGCAAGAAACTGGACTTAGGCTCAAATACATGTGGCATTCGTTTCCAGAGCATAACTCTGAACCGTTTACACATTCTACAAAAACATCCATGCAGGGTTGTCTTGGAACCGCTACCATAATTGTCTTATTGAAATGTATACCACTTGACTTGAAATTTAAAGCCCAACCTTGTCAAGTGTATACAATGCTCAGTAGGGTCAAATCAAGGAAAGACTTACAGCTTGTAGGTTTTAATGAACACAAATTGTAGAAAAAAAACAACAACATTGGATGAGATGTCTAGAATGCGGAATGAAAGACTGTTCACCTGGACACACCCTGTAGAGAACAGTCATGGTGATGGACTCAAGGTGGCTCACTTGAATGTTCGATCCATCAGTGCTCATTTCGAAGATGTGAAGAATGATAAGTTTGTCGGTGTGGTTCATGTTTTGTGTTTCACAGAAGCTCACATCAATGATAACAGTGAAAGAGACCTCCAAGGATCTCAAGTCTATCCAGGAGACACTACGCATGGTATAGCTGTGTATGTGTGTCACGAACAGCATCCTGCTATGTGATGTAACCTCATCTCACAATGTTGAATACATTTCCTTTTTTGCTGGCAAGTTCTGCATTGTGTGGATGTTCCTCCAAAAGTGTCGTGGACACGGTTGTCGCATTCACTTACTGATTTCATGCAGAAACGTCCGGATCTCACTGAGCAGCACGAGCAATGTGAACATGTTACAGGGGATTTCAACTGTGATCTGAGTGAAAAACTGAAATTTGAAAATGACTGGTGCTGTACTTTTAATGATATGAATTTACCAGTGTTATGATAAAAATAATCGCTAATATTTACCAATTAAAATGCAAGGGCATGGTTTGATTAACGTGGATGCTCTTCATGGTCAAATTGTATTGTGCACTTTTGCACACATCTAATTGTCTGATGATAACTTCCCACTCGACATAATGGCGTGACTCGATCCTTTTATCACCGTCTTCGCCGTGCTTGTGGTTTTGACACAGAGGTCCATCCATGGTGCGAACCAGAGTATGTAGAGGGCGTCATGGAAAATAATAAAAACAAAATTCTTTGGAATAGGCCCGTATGCAGCCTCAGACCAATCCAGGCCAACAAACCATATCTTGTCCATTTTGATAAAGCCAATGAAATCATTTATATCATTGAATTTTCTGTCCTAATGTGATTCAGGAAAAACATGACAAATATGCAGACCTCGCTTTCGAAACGTCACGCTTGCATTCCAAGTACCAAGATTTCCGACTCCCCATTGGTCTCGGTGCCTTAGGTTTGGTACCTCCAAATCTGTTGACTGACATTGGGAGAGTACCCTTTGTTCCTGCCAGGAATACAGCCCTTCTGACAATCTGGGTAATGCAGAAGGTTGCAGTGTTGGGGAGTCTTCACATTCTCCGAATAGTTATGTGTGGGTTTGACTAGGCAGCCCTTCCTGGGAGAAGTCCCATTCGCTGTCTGGGCTGCGTGTAGAGGGGGCAAGGGCCCTGAGCTGATGATGAGCCTAACTCGCAATAAAGTCAAGGACAAATACTTATGCTGTACTTGTCCTTTAGTATTCTTTTGGTGTTGTTGATTGGACGAAACGAGACGTTCAGGGTATTGACACCTTCACACGAAGAATCATGTCAGACAATAGATCCCATCACCCTCTTCCCTCCATCGCTTATATTTACC